CCCCATCAGTTCCTGAGGGTGAGGGCCACAAATCTCTATTTTTCAAAAGCCCTTGAAATGACTGATGATTGACTTGCTCTGGGAGCCGCTGGGCTACACTGCACTACTTCCCTTCACCCTGTGGGGCACACTCCTCTCCTTAACCCCCGGAGGGCTTGGCTGTGTCCTGTAGCCCAAGGTGGAGTGCGGAGAGCACAGGGGACGGTGGCCATCCCACCCTGTCACCTCCTGATTCCCACACCTTAGTCTCACAGCCTGGCATCTCTGAGCCTTGAGGAAGACAGGCCCAGCCTGCAGGAGGGACGTGAGCAAGGGTCACGTGAGCGGATCGATGGAATTGCCTGGAAAAGGCTCAAAAGCAGGTTAAGACAGATGGGCACTGGCAAGGTGCTCCTCTCTACCTAGATGCAGGTGCAGTGTCCTCATCACAGAGAGAGGGCCTGGATCCCTTCCCACAGCCTGTGTTGGGGGGACCAAAGAACAGCATGTGCATCTTATAAGACTTACGGTGCGGAGACCTCTAAGTGAATGTTCTCACATAGTTTGGGGTATGTGACCAGAAGAGCCTCCATTGCTGTTAAAACTGGGGGCCTGTCTTGGCTCAGTTAATCAGGGAAGTGTCTAATTACGTAGCTGAGGGGAGGGAAAAGCAGGATTGGCTTGAATGTGATTAGATAAAACATTCCGATATCAAAGGAAATGCCAGAGGCATTTTTTTAAAATTTATAATTCTTTCGTGATTTGGCAGGTAATTATGATAATTCCTGGGATTTTCACAGACTTAAAAGCTTTTTCACAGCCACCTTATTTTTGGAAATCATCTTCTCTGATGCTCCAGCTGGAGTGGATTGCTCAGTCTCCCGAAGTTCCAAAGCTATCGTCTTCCAAAGCCCAACTCAAATGTCACCTTCCTGATGACGCTTTCCCCCATCCCTTATGCCAGAGATACCAAGTAGGTGTCATCCGCAGGCCAAGTGTCTGATCTGTAGGGGCTGCCTGGGTGCTCCCGTGGGGAAGGAGTGCAGCAGGCGACTAGTGATGTCTGCCAAGGGGCCAGAGGTGGGGAAGAGTTGGTGAGCCCATGTGCTTGGGCATTTATTTAGGTTCCAGCCATTTGGAGCTAAACTGGTGCTCTGGGCACAGGTGCAAATATAGGGGCTGGATAACTCTGCAACAGATTTGCCAAGTCACCAGGGTGTGGTTTTAAAGGTTTGATAGATGTCGCCAAACAGCCTGTGACTTAGACTTCTTGAATCTTTCTACCATCTTCTCTCCAACCTGAAGGGCAAAACCCAAAGGGTAACTGATGAGCCCATGCACCTTGTTAATCCATGAGGTACCTCTCAAAATGGCCCTGGGCATAGTGAGCGGTGGGCGTGGGAGGCTGCCCGGCATGTGCCAAGGCTGGTGGGAGAAGTGAGCGAGTCCTGCATGTTCTCTCTGGGGGAGCCCTTCCCTCATGCCCTGTCCTCTTTCCCAGCCGTCCTCTCTTGGCAAGCTCTAAGTTTATCTGATCTCTGGGGTGTGAACCCCAGGACCTTCCTGCCCCCTTGCCCATAATAAGGCCTGGCACATGGTCAGCAGTTGTGTTGGTGACATTTCCTCACTGGGGGGTGGCGAGCCTCTCTCCACAGCTGAGTTCCTTGGTAAAGCACATGTGGCCCCTTTGCACCTGGCTTCTGCAGACAGCCCTGTCCTCCATTCCCCTGTTGTGTGATCAGCCATCCTGTACAACGAGCTCTCCTCCCTGAGCAGCGCAGAGCTTGTTAGGTGGGGCTGCTCCTGTCGGTGGCACAGTGGCCCCAGGCAGTAGAGAGGGCATTGAATCTCCGTTTTGTAGGTGAGCGACTTTAGGCTCCTCACAGTTGAGCCTGGCACCAGAGCACACTCTAAGTGATCAGGTGCAAGCCTGTCTGGCACCAGAATCTGAGCCCTTAACTGCCTGTCTCAGCTGGTCCCCAACCCCCGGCCCCAGCTCCGGTAACCTCTGGGCCTTTGCACCTGCAGTTTCCTCTGCTGGATATGCCTTTCTCCTCCCTGTCTCCTGGTGACCTCCTAGAGCTCAGCACATCTATGGGACATCGAAGACCTACAAGTCTGCATAATTTTAGATGCCAGGGGGTGAGCAGGTGATGGGGTTAGAGAAAGGCTGATCCTGAGCATGTTCAGGTTTTTTTCATCCTTTGGGCAGTGGGAAGCAAGGAAGGTTTTAAACATCATCAGGTGAGAAAATCCGATGTTGCTTTGGGAAGAGCATTCCGGTCTGCTTAGCCAAGAAGGGACTGAAGGGCAGCTAGTGTCTATCCCATCCCCTTGCAAGTCCATGGCTGCTGAAAATAAAGACCAGAAGTGGGCAGGTGAGACCAGAAGTGCCCTCAGAGCCTCATAGAAACTCCAGCAGGCAGTGGCTGTGCTGCTGGCTTTTGTTTCTATGATCTCCGCTGCTTTTCTGAGGCTCTCGGAGTCTTGAATCCATTTCTAGTCGCACTAGACTTGGAAAGAGTTATTCAAGGAACAGTAAGCTCAGCATGGTTTATGTAAGATCAAAGCTGTTGGTCTCAGTGGCTGCATGTGGGGATATCTAATCTAGAAATTCGGAGTTTCAGAGCTTAGCTTAGTAACAATAACATTGCAGTTTTAATGATTGATCAAAATTATTTTATCGGTTTGTCTCCTCAGTTCTACTGGATCTCCTCCACCCCTACACCCTCATCCCCCTTCCCTCGTGAAATGAAAGCTTTGTCTGACGTGGTCAAGTCACTCTTCTGGCTGCAAGAGAGAACCGGGGTTTTGACAGCTCGTGATAAATGCTGTTGCAAGCTGGGATGTTTCGGTGTTTTATGCATTTTTGGAAAATTGTTTTTAACACTCTGGCTCCCCCTGTAAAACAAAGCAAAACAAAGACAAAGTAAAACCCCGTTTTGCTCTGGAAATGCCGGTGGCATTTATTTAAAGCTCTGTTTTGTGGGGCATGTTAGCAGGTATTTAGCAGTAATATTGGCAAGCTGTGTGTTTCCTGCTTACTGTGTGGTAAATGGATCCTCCGCCCTGAGGAAGCTCATGGAGGATTTATGTGATTTCTTGTGTGGAGGATCTGCACAGGCATTATTAGCGATTGGTTATTTGTTTGTGAAAGGCCAAAAGAAAATCGTCTTAAGCTTTTTCTATACAAAAGGAATAACGCAACTGGGAAATATTCATTTTAGGTCTGTACAAAAAGAAGCTGGTTAGAGGCTCCCTGACTTATCTCCCGGTGTTAATTGCATGGTACTTGCAATGTCTTTTGTGTCATTCTCACTTCGCATCTCACCCTGGTTTGAAAGAAGGTGGGCACTTAAGGGACAGGGAGTTGCCACGAACAGGGTTGGGGATTCACGGAGCAAGTTGAAGGAAGCATCAGGATTTGATTGGGAGCCCGGTGCATTTTATGTTGACTGCCTTTAGTTTCAGGTGAAGAATTTTAATTCTTTTACAGAGCCCAAGTGGTTATACCCACTGATTAATGGAAGAGTGTTCATTATCAGCAAACTAAAAAGTAAGGGAAAATAGAAATAATGGGAAGAAAATATGCCCCTTGACTAATGTTAATATCTTGTTTATTTCCTTTTATGCCTTTTATGCCTTTTACCTTTTATATAACAACATATCCAAAAAAAAAAAAATAATGAAAGAAAGAAAAGAGGATGGCCCCTCTTTTTAGTTCTCCAGAGACATTGAGACTTAGGTAAATGATCTTTTCTTTTCCCACAAAACGTCTCCCTATATCCCTTCTTGATTCTGACAGTATGTTTTACATTTTACATATAGTATTTACATATACTATATTATGTATAGTATCAATGGTCTGATATTTTTTTGTCTTAAATAGAACATGCTTAGTGCCTGGCTGAAATCTGTGGTGTACAGGACAGGTGATCTTGGGAAAATCAGGGGGATGGGGATGGGGGAGGGTCTGTTGACCTCTGAATTCTCGAGGGATTCTCTTTAAGATGGTTGTAAGATTCTTCTCTGAAGGTTCCTAAAGAGCATGACATCTCACATTTCCCTGAACTGCTCAAATAATTGTAGTTGAATTTGATTTTAAGCCCCGATATGATCGCTCAGTAATCAGAAAAATTACTCTCTGTTTTGACCACAGGATATCATTGTGCTTTTTGTAAGTTAATAGCTGGAAAGACACGTGGTTCATTCTGTACATCAGTCATAGACTACTTTAGGGGAACCTCTTTTTATTTTTTGGGAATGAGCCAAGGGTATTGAATAAACATGCACAAGTTCAGGGGCTCATGGCGGGCCTGAATGGGCTGCATGTGGGCACAGTGTACATGATGGAATGGTGGCACGTGGCCCAATGGTCAAGAGCCAGGGCCCCGGAGTCAGTCCTTTGTTAACGGTATGACCTTGAGCTGCTGCTCCCCTGTGACATCGTTGCCCTTCTGAGAGGCAAGAATAATACCCGCCTCACAGAGCCAGCATCACGAAGATGCAAGGAGCTCACGGAAAGGATTTCCCTAGCATAAGTCAAGTAGTGACTGAGAGGTAGTGGTGCCTCTGCTGTGGTGTCAGTCACTGTCACTGTCACCATCGCCACAAGACTTTGGTTCTGTTTTCTTGGTTTTCAGAACCAAGACCCTGATGAACAGAAGTGGTCAGTTATTTCAACTGTGCCCTAAGTGGGGTCATTCTTGGCAGGCACAGCTCTAGATGAGGAAGAAAGTGTCCATGAAGGATAAAAACCTAAGGCCCTGATAGAGCACTTTCATGCCCATAAACTGTGGACTGTTGCTTCTGTAGCATTGACATCAACTAGGTCACAGGTGCGTTTGACTTACAGGTGCATTTGCACAGTACATAGGTAAGTGGTGTTCTGTCTCCCACCCCCACAACCTCCCGGTTGCCTTGCCAGCAAGTGGCAGCCGCAGAGAAGGTGGGACCAGGGACTGGGGGTGGGACATGGGTCTGCCCTCTGAGCCTCACCCTTGGGTGCTTGTGTGTTCCAGGTGGCGGAGATGCACGGTGAGCTGATTGAATTCAACGAACGCCTGCACAGGGCTCTGGTGGCCAAGGACGCCCTCGTGTCTCAGATGAGGCAGGAACTCATTGACCTGCGGGGACCGGTGAGTGCTCCCGCCTGGGAAGGTCTCAGCCTTGCTCTTCTGCTTGCCTTGTCTGTCTACGCAGCCTCTGCTGCCCACAGCCACCTTGTTCAGTTTGTTCATCCTTGGCAATGGCGAGGGTATAGAAGAGTACAGGGACTGAGAGAGCGAGGGCTCGTGTACCCACCGTCCAGCTTTCATGTGCATTGACCTTCCCTACACTTGGGTTTGCTTCGGGTGGGAAGGGGTGGAATAAACACACGATACCGAGTCTATTTGAAGTCTCCCCTTTGCAACATTTCCTGCCCCCGCACCCCATAATCAATATTCTGCAATTGGTGTATAGCCCTGTCTTTCCTGTTTTTACACTTTGCCTCGTAAATTTACATGAGCAACAAACAGTCGTGGGTTTTGTGTAACTTTTACCTACGTGATGTTACCTGTGTGTATGTGTATCTCTTTGCCCCTTGTTTTTTGTTTGTCTTTAATTCAATATTGTGGTTTGGGGCGTATCTCACACAGATCTAGTATAGGAATTTAAAACTGTGACCCTCTTGATACTTTGGGCCACTTAGGGTGGTCCCCACATATCTGTGGTTCCACCTGCCAGGATCTGGAAGCAGATGACCCTCTTTCTGATGAGTTGTCATACAACTCATACAACACCTCCATCACTCACCTCCTTCATCTCATCACGTAGGCATTGTTTCATCTTCACGTCATCATGAGAAAGAAGGGAGAATAGAGGACAATAAGATATTTTGAGAGAGAGGCTGCACTCACATCTTCTATTATAGGGTATTGTTAAAATTGTTCTGTTACATGCTGTTGTTGCTAATCTCTTAGATGCAGAATTTGTAAATTAAACTTTGTCATAGGTGTCGCATACAGGGAAAAGCAGAGTATATGTAGGGTTTAGTACTGTCCGCAACTCAGACATCCAGTGTGAGCATCTTGGAATATATCCCCCACAGATAAGGGGGATGATTATAATTACTTGTTCTGGGGACCATCCTGTGCATCATAGGATGTTTAGCAGCACCCCTGATTTCTACCCACTAGGGGCCAGTAGCACCCCACCCCATCACAATATCCAAGAATGCCTCCAGACATTGCCAGACATTCCCTGAGGGGTGGGGGCCAAACCACCTTGGTTGAGGGGCCCTGGTCGGGTTCATTCACTTCCTTGACTCTTGAGTTCTCTCTTGCATGAAGTACCATGATAATTTTAATCCAGTTTCACTTTAATGCATAGTTAGGTTGTTTGCATTATTTTGCTATCATAAGCTGCGATGCTGAGAGCATTTCGTCCTTTAGTACATGTTTGTAATAGCGTCTTCATTTCAAAGCTTTATTGTGTCCAATGTTAGATGCTCACAGATTAAAGAATCTCTTGTATCCTCATCAAGTAGAACTGTCCTCAGTGGTACTCGGTCTTATTTAAAGTTAGCCACACCCATCTCCCTTCTCTATTATTTTGAATCAGATACTAGGTGTTACTTCATCTCTAGACCTCTTTGTATAGATCTTAAAAAAAAAAAAAGGAAACCATAAATATAATATTGTCATCCCTCCATAACCCTTGATTTCTGTATAGACACTAGCATCCACATGAGATCTCTGTGTTGTCATTGGTTACGTCTGTGTGTTTATTTTCTTTTAATGTAGTTGTTTTGACTTTAGTGAAATATAAGCTGAAATGTACCATCTTAGCTAGTGTTCAGCATGGGTGGTGTGGTGTAGGTATGTGGACATTGTTGTGTTAACCCTCACTGCTTCCCATCTCCTGAGACTTGTCCTCTTCCCCAGCTGAAGCTCTGTCCCGTTAAACCTTGGTGCCCCATTGCTCCCTCCTCCAGCCCACACCTACCACCATCCCACTCTCTTTGTCCTTAAATCGAACTGCTTGATGATGTTTCTGTCTCCATAGAATCTTCCTTCACCTCTCTTTCCTTTCTCTTCCTTAACCTGTATTTGTGGAAGACCCTGAGTCGTGTCACCACTTGAAACTGGCTGATGGCACCTCTGCCATGATCTTCTCTGTGCCTCTCTGTTGCTTATATTTTCTTGAATTGGCACTTGCGTCTGGGGGCTGGGATGTAGGTGTAATTTTTCTGTAAACATTGCTGTCACTGGGGCCATGTGTTTGGTCAGGAGACACACATAGTCTGCCTGTCTCTCTTCGATCCTGGTGGACCTTTATTAGCACTTCCTACATCCACTATACAAACAGTGTTTCCCTGAGACCGTGCCTCAGGGCAAACTTGATGAGTTGGGTGGTACTTTAAACACCAGTGAGTTTTACTTTTTTTTTTAAATACCTGTTTACAATCCCTCTGTGAGTGTGCAGGAGTTCCTGCTGACACTTTGACATCTCTACCAACACTCCCGGGCCTGAGGTGGGTTTTAACTGGTGTTTTTCTTTTTAAAATTTATTTATTCATGAGAGACACAAAGAAAGAGAGAGGCAAAGACACAGGCAGAGGGAGAAGCAGGCTCCATGCAGGGAGCCTGATGTGGGACTCGATCCTGAGACTCCAGGATCAGGCCCTGGGCCAAAGGCAGGCGCTAAACCACTGAGCCACCCAGGGATCCCCAACTGGTGTTTTTCTGATCGTGAGTGAAGTGGACCATCTTGCCATTGGCTAGCTCATATATTGTTTCCATTTCTGTGACTTGGAGCCTGTGCCCATTTCCTGTTGGGTTGTGTGTGTTTTCTTGCTAATTTCTAGCAGTTCTTCTTGTGTCTTTTCAGTTACACATGTTGTGAATATTCCCTCCTGGCCTATGGTTTACTCATGAGCTTTTAATAAAAGTGGAAAATTTTAAGTCTCTGGAAAAGGGAGAATCCTTTAATGAGACTCCACCACTCAGCTCTGGCAGTAATCAACTCAGGGTTGTTCTCAACTCATTCTTACTCAATTCAGCCCCTTCCCAACTCAGATTATTTGGATGCATATCCAAGTCATGATATTACTTCAGTCACAAATAATTCAGTATTTATCACTAAAAGATATTTACAATACCATCATCATACCTAAAAAAATTAATGATAATTCCTCAAATGTCCAGTCAGTGTTCAGTGTTCTCCAGTTAACCTTAGATATATTTTTTTAATTTATTTGCTTTAACCAAATCCCAGTGTGGTACAAACATTGCAGTTGGGGGATAGATATTTTTAGTTCAGTATTTCTCTCCCCTCCCCTACCCCACCCCTGCCTTTTGTTGTTATTATTGAAAAGCCTGGTGTTTTTAACCATCTCCTATTTATGATTTTGTTGATTGCAGCCCCATGGTGATCCTTACCATGTTCCTCTGTCCCCTGCCTTTCCTTTGAATTGGTCCTTAGCTGTAAAGTCTGAATGAATTTCAGCCTTTTTTTTTTTTTTTTTTGACACCTTGCCCTTACAGGTGGTGGTGTAGTACTTCCATCTGAGGGCACTTGAGCATTGATCTGGAAAGGTGCTGCTGGAGGTGCCACTGGACACCAGACCCTGTTTGTTTATATGATGCCAGCATGTGAATGTTACCTCCTGTGCTTAAAGCTCCGTAGAGCAGTCCTTGATTGGGTTGGTTTTCCTCACTCCTTGCATGTCCAAGATGTGTACAAGGTCTTTGTGGATTTCTTTCATTAGGGAGATACATGTTTTCCTAAGCGAGAAACACATTTAGTAGGTACCTATTGTGTATTAAAGAGCCCTTTGTGGGAGGTGATTTCATCTTTGTTTTATAGGTTGACTGAGGCTCAGCGAGGTCCCCAAATCTTTCTATATCATGGACCTAGATTCAAACTCTGACTTAATCCACAAAGTCTATTTTCTTTCTCATGCTCCAACTTTGGGGAGTTAGGGAGAACAGATGTGGATGGGTTCCCTTGTGTTACCCATTGCCCTTCCAAGCAAAGTTCCATGGGTCCCTCTGTGTGTACTTCCTGGTTGTGTCCCACATTAAAGACTTGGGCAGCATAGCTTCTCATTTTACTGCTATCTGTGGCCCCATAGCTGAGAAAGGACAGTGGGGTTGCAGGAATGGGGAACTCCCTGTGCTGACTTGTATTTCAGAGTGTGAGCAGAACTGGTGTGGGGAGCAGACAAGTGGCTCCCATGTCCCTGCATCCTGGCATACTCCAAGGCCCACCTTACTAGAACAGGACTTGATAGCAGATGAGGACCAAGGAGTGGTCCCGTTCCTTAGAATGGGTTCATTTTGGATCCCAGAGGAATGCCTGTGTGTCCTCAATGCTGAAGGAAAGATAGGTCACTCCTGTCACTGCAGGTACATTTTCCGAGAGTGCCTTCAGTGTATTATTCTCTTTATGGATGATGAAAACAATGAGCCAGCTGGTCTAAGTCAATTCTGATTTTAATAAGATAATATTTATTGAGTATTGTTGCTGCTGTCTTTGAGACGTAGTGATTCCTGTGGTAGGTGTCAAGTTAATGTGGGGTGGCTCACTGAGTGAAGAAATGGGCGAATGAGTGAAAATCACAGGTAGGAGATGGTGGAGTCCAGACTGTCCTTGGGCCCCTTTGACATGCATGCCCCCCTTCTCTGTGCCAGGACATGCTCCTTTTTGTTTCAAATCTGAATGCCCCATGGGGCAGTGACATCCGTTCTCACAGAGGAGACCCTGACTGTCAGGGGGTGCTTTCCTGGGGTGTGTGTGTGTGCAGGTTGTGATGGCCAGAGATGGGGGAGAGGAAAGTGGGTGTTAAGGGGCCTGCAGGCTGTGGGAATGGCTGGCCATTTGGGCAGTGACCCCCCCAGAGGACACTTTGGCCTTGTCATCATTGTCTCAGGCCTGCTCCAGAGTCAGACAGCAAGGGCCAAAGGAAGGAGGAAATCTGAAGCTCAGTTTCAGTTCTGGAGGCTTCTCTTCCTTTGTGAGAAGCATCTGTTTATGGAATCTCTGCCTCTTCTCTCTTCGTTTCCACTGGGCCTGGCTCCCTGCTGCCCCTGGATTAGACTGCCTCCCACACCACTGCAGTGTTCTAGGGCCTCAAGGGCACCGGTTTTTGCTT